AGAGGGATTTACTGTTATTTTTTCACTACCTCATGACGGAGCAGTTACCCCCTCAGCTGCCACTGATGCCACAATCTCATTTTTAGTCTGCGAATTCCTAAAGGTGATTGTTCCTGCCAACATTGATTTTTTTTTTTGCTTCATTGAACTGTGAGAGGCATGAGAGTAGAGCCAAAAATATCATTACACAGAGGGTGACATTAGGGGAGCGCGGCCTAGCGACAGGGAGCTATGACGGAGTTCCCTGATTAGTGAGTTACCACGCAGAGACAAAGGGCCTCTGAAATCACAGGAAACAGAACAATCAAAGAGCCGGCACACATTCCAAGAAAAGCAGCACACCACAGAAACACAACATGATCCAGGACGTTGCTGCGTCTGAACATCTGATGAAAGCTTTAGCTGAGCAAGTTCAATGAATTATTAGTAAAGAATGATGCCAAGGACAGAGAAAATGGCTGAAATCTTAAATGACTGAAACGCATACATCTTACGCTGTCTTTGATTGCTGTTCATTCCTGCTGAGAGAAGGAAAAGACATGAATCTGAGCCATATTTGGATTAGAAGTGACCCTAATTATAATTTACGATCTTACTGACAGGTATTTTCATACACTTGCAAATGCAAAAACCCCAAACCCTCAAAACTGTGGGGTCCCCGGTTTAAAGAAAAAACCCACCAGGCCCACACATCTTCCTTATGAACCATTAGATCTCAGCCTGGACTCAGGAAATAACTGGCTCCTTCCCTTTCTCCAAAATGGCAGCTCTGTTTCTGTGGCATGGGTTTGCTGGATTAGAACAATTCCCCACCAGCCCATAATTTGTGGGATTCTCATAACACGCCACACCCTGCCAGACATTTCCATTATAACCCCATTTTGTCCTCTGATGAGGATATTTCAGGATGAAGGAGGATGTCTTTTTTTTTTTTTTTTGTGAAGGACCCCTCCGGTTTTTGGGGGCTGCTTTGGGTTACGGCCTACACGGATGAGCTTCAAGCCGCTAGTTGTCTCAGATTTCTCCTCAATTGTTCAGTAGCAGGTAACAACAGGGTTGGGTGGAAAACCCTCAATGTGGGCGCACAAAATTCTAGGTCAAGTAGAGATGAAGGGGATCTATTTTCAGCAAAATGTGCTGTTTATCTCTGTGTGTAAAACCAGTGGGGAACCTCTTCCCCCACAAGTAGGGCCCACTTCTCTAACTTGTGGTGTATGTGGCTACCTATGTGATACGGTTGCTAAATTATCTGTTTTCAATTCAGTTCAATTCAGTTTTATTTGTATAGCACCAATTCATAACAAAAGTTATTTAAGGACACTTTGCAAATAGAGCAGGTCTAAACCGTACTCCTTATAAAATGATTTACATAGACCCAACAGTTCCCTTTTCTCTCTCTCCTTTGTTAGGGGCTTTTTGTGTGCGATGTAAACAATTACCAAACTGATAGTAGAAACTAGTTAATAGAATTAATACCAAATGTAAGACCTTGATGGAGAGTTTCAGTACCTCCTGAGTATTTTCCACAAGATTAGAAACATGATATGCTGAAAATCTCTCATCTGACTGATCAAATGCAGAGAGCAGAACAAGTTGTGAGTCCTTTCTCTGTATTTCCAGGCCAACAGCGTATCAGTCAGGCTTGTGCAACGCAATGGGGCGAGGGCGAAAAATGCCAGATGAGTATAAATCTTCACACAGTCGACCTCAGAGTCTGCAAAAACAAATTAGGGCCCGGCAGTCCCCTTGGCTCACTCAGAGACACTCACATTATATACACAACTGGTGTACATGTGTTCCTGTTAATCACTGATTTGAAAGACAACATTCGACATGAGCCTCAGCACAAGCAAGAATGTGGAATCTCTGTCGTGAGGCTGTGTGAGATCCACACCGCTGAGCTGATCGTAGACAAAGGACAAAAGAGTGATGAAGTGATTAAGAGACGTGAACGCAGCTCTCACATGTTAAGGTTCAGCTGAGCAAGAGAGTTACAGTACGATGCTATGCCATGGTGGATGATGCATCAGTTTCCTGACAGCGTTTTAAGACAAAGAAGCTTCAACACATGTGACTCAGAAAAAAAAGAGAGGCTCATTTTGTTCCATTACACCATCCGTCTATGAACACAGCTACCACACTCACACATGAGGCTACAGTGGCACACACGTTTGCATTGCTGCGCATGCACCCACAAAAATACAAAATGTAATTTGTGCATTCTTGCCAGAAACTTTAAATATATAGTATTTGCTGCTCATAAAGGTGCACCACACCACATTGAGTAGAGAGGAACTGTGATTGTTCATTGCAGAAATGCAAGCCACCTCAGTTTGCGTTAACCCACAACACACAAATGCTTGCACTCACACACACGAAACACTTCAGGAAATTATGGCCAAACTGTGAGAAGATTCACTGTTAAAAAAACAGGAAGTGGTTACCAGCTGCATTAAACCAGAGTACACCTCCGTAATACTCAAACTCAAAATACACTGACAACCTGCAATATCTGACTACTTTAAAAACTCTAAAGCAGAACCAAGAAAACTGATCCACCTCCTCCTTTTATTGATTTATTTGCATAAGAGACACATGTTCAAACAAGCCCATTATTTAATTGTGCCAGAATGCATTTTTTTAAAGATGCACCTCCTTGTCATTAGAAAGTTTTACTTATTCACATGCATGCCTTCCCTATCTCTATCCCTTTAACAAAAGAATGTCAGAATTGCATAATATGCCAAGCAGGTAGATTAGCAAAGGCTTATTCTCCCGCACTTTGTCTGTGCCTCAGGTTAAACAGACCAGCTGCATCTGAGAATGTCACTCAAAGCCGCGGGGCTCCCCTTCCAAATCAGCACGCATGCATTTATGGATCAAGTGTGTTCATCCCCTCGGCCTGCCGCAGGTTGAAGTACACGACCTGTCCTGCTGTAGAGAAGTGCCCAGGCATGCTGGCAATTGTGAGGGCTTAGATGGAAACAAAAACAAGAAGGGACTTAATCGAGCCAAGAGTCATTATCTCAGCAGTTAATGTCAGTGGCTCAAAGGACAACACAGGCAACAGGTCTTGTGACGAGCCAGTGTGAGAACAGGTTCTGACAGTTGAGCTGAGCTGCGAACAAGATGAGCTTGATAAGTGCTTAAGGGCGAGCTCAGGTAAGTTTTAAGTGGTCAGTCAAGGTTGAGAGGGAGGGGACCTCGAGCTCTCTAGAAGTCATGGACTCAGGGATGCCTCAGAGAAGCAGCCACTTTGACCTCTGACCCTTGAAGGAGATGTGGTCACAGGCTCAGATTTTTAAGTGGGAGAGTTGCTCTGTGTCGGCTTTCCCCACTCTGTCTGAGCACATGCCATTGCTAAGCACTGGGTGTGTGTGTGTATGCAGTGTGTTACACTCACTATTCACTGTGACATTACAAGATTATCACATATTTTGGGAACAGTTGGTTGATGAATAAGAGACTCAGTCACACAACACCGCAGTGCAGTTACGTCAACAGTCCATCCTTGTAGTAATGACCTCGGTCATTCACAAATAAACCTAACCCTGCCTTGACATATTAGACAAATATGCATTGACGCCTGGTGTATGGTAATTATATTCTTCTGTAATAATTATCATTCTGATGTCAGATGGTGTCATGTTCTTAGATTACAACTGTGCTATTACCGTTTTTGCTGCTCAGCATTTCAGGTGATAGGAACCAGCCCCAGTCTATTTTCACTCCACAAGAAGCCCATAAATTACAGCCTGATCAATGGTGGGCCCCATTCAGGAAGTGGGTGAAGAAGCACAGATAATACAAGAGATACAGGTTATTAAAAGCAGTGGGGAGGAGGGGGAGTTTGAAGTTAACCAGTCGGTTGAGGCCCCTGAGCTATTACAGCAGGTTAATTATACCTTAGTTGAAGTGTTAAATAGACCAGTAACCTGCGCTTTGGTTCCCTTTATTGATGCCAGGTGTAGTAAATAAATCAATTAGGTATGTGGCTTTAGAAGTAATTTGACTCACTGCGATGCTTGGGGAATTTTTGAAGCTATCTTTGCCTTTATGTTGGGTACTGCGTGGGCATTTTCAGTTCTGCTACAGCAGTAAAACACTACGGTATTTAAAATAGATGAAAATCCTCCAACTGTAAACGCACGTTGTACAGATTTTAAATCAGTTTACATCAATGGATTGCTCATAGCCACAAAAGAAACTGCTGAAAGTTGGAGAGGAAACCGACATGCGGCTCAGCAAACCACTCTCTCCGTTGAGGTAGCACACTTCACACATGATGAACTGAATATTTTGCATTCGTGTGGATTCTCTTTGCATCGTGGACCCACCTGGTTAGCTGACAAACCACACTACAAACACCAATTCCTGTCAGCTGGCTAAGAGTGAAAGAGGGACACATCAAAATCTGAATGCTGCGCGTGCCAAATGGTCGGTACACACCGGATCTCGTTTGTTTGTCAACCACAGGTTGTTATCTTCACTGCCTTTTTGCAACCAAACCCAAAAATCTAAATTACTCAGTTGTAGATACACCCTCAGCACCTGAACACTCCCTTTAACTGTTCTAACTGTCCAAAGTAGAAAAGACATTGATTTTGCAATTGTTACACCCAGAAAATCCCTTAATCATGTGTATTTTCCTCAATATGAAACTCACACTGTGGCCATAATTTAATGAGAACCAGTCTGACAATGAAACTGCAGTTTCCATATTACACAGTATGGGCCAACAACAAGTGATACTTAGTAAGCTATACTACGCTCGATAACATACATCAGCATCTTTCTCACCCCTCACCCGCCTGAAAAACAGGGGTGTTTTATGACAGTTAGACTCTGGGTTAATGTCTACATGATCCTTTGAGATAGCATCTAAGAAGAAAAACAGACTTTACCTGTGTGGATTTAAGTTTCTGTAATTATTCTACTATTCACAACAACTGCCAAGACATTTGGGAAAGCCTTTTAAATTTAGGAAAAAAAACTCTTACCTCAAGTAGAGGCTGTACAAATATATTACTAACTTTAAATATTCTATATCAGGCGTTTCTTTGCCTTCACTTTATAAAGTTTCTTTAGAGAGTGTTAAACAACTTTCAATTTGTCAGCTTGTGATATATTTAACATCAGTTTCGATGTAAGAAGTACTTTAGTATTGCACTTCCTCAAAGAGGGATTCAAAAAGATCTGGCAAAAACAAAGGAACAGAGGCAGATATATCTTGACTTCTAGTCTCTAGTAAGGGTCTCTCATGTGACTCTCTCTTCCTTCTATGCGGTCTTCTTTTCTAACCCCACTTTTGTGAACCCTTCAAATTAAAGGTCCAGTGTGTAACTTTTAGGAGGCTATTCCATTTGCAGAAATTGAATATAATATATTCATAGGTATGTTTTCATGTTGAACCACCATGTTTCAGGTAGCCTAGAATGGACAAACCAAACATTGGCTCTAGACAGGTCCTTTTGCGTTTTTTCACAAGTTTCACAGCCACCATAATTTCTCCTACACGCTTGGAAGGCTGAGCTGTATTCAAATGGTTGCAATCTGCACCTTCACCTACACACTGGTCCTTTAAGTTAACAGGGTCATGTCAGAGCAATTGAAAAAGTGGAGGGAGCTTCTTGCGTTCACTCCATTATGGAGTAGTTTGAAGCCATCCCACTCCAGTTTGTTTGACTTTATGTTAAAAATGTTAAGTGTCAAACCCAAGCTCACAGTTCCCCTTTAAAAGATAGCTCACAACATACATAAGTATTTGAAATATTTAATGACATATCTGAAGCCACAACCCTGAGATTGAGAAACTCTCCTCATAAACATTTAGTCATATAGTCTTGCTGTAGTCTTGCTTTGTCACATCCAACATCAGGCTTCTTCTCACAAACCCATCCTGACCTTTTCACCTCTGTACTTGACACTTCTCCTGACTCCCTGACGATTATTCACTACGTAATTCCATTCATTTCACCATCACTTTATAACTCATAAGCTCCCAAACAACTCACTGTCGAGCTTTGGCCCTTTAAGAGACCCGTGTTTTCAATGTCATCCTTTTAGAAAAACACAACGCCATTCACAAGTACAGGATCAATATCCACTCTCTGAAAGAGCGTGGTTCTGTGAAAACAGACCAGTGCACTCAAGGAATCGTAACCAGGTGTAGGGGAGGAAATACCTGGAGCATTCCTTGCTGGAGGAATGTTTTTATTAGCCTTTTTACAAATGTCGCCATTTCGAGGTGTGTACACTATAAAGTGCACTGCAGGCTGGATCACTCCATCAAGCGGAGCGTGGCTTCAATGGGGAACCTGTGTCGAGGCCGGGGGTTATGCTGTTTGAACAGCTGGCATAGTTTAGTTAGGCATGTTCAAATGTGCACAGGTTTGAGTTTGTCGTACCACACAGAGGAAGAAAACACAGGTTGAATGTTCATCAGGATAGATTCTACTTTATACAGTGTCATCATTCTGAAAGTGAAACAGTTGAATTAACCTGCTGACTAAAATGGATCAGAAATGAGCACCAAAACACAATAGCAAAGGAATAGACACATGTTTTCATCATCAAAAAGATTCCCACATTATGCACAGTACAATACTCATGTGCACTTTAAGGGAGGAGTTTGACATTTTGTGGGAAAAACGCTTTACGATTACGATTTATAGGTTAAGATTGATACCACTCTCTGGCTGAAAAGGGGGGGGTTAGTCTGGCTGTTGTTTTTATATGGACTTTTGTATGGATTAGACAAACAAGATATAACAAAATAATTAGTTGGATTTAGAGGTGCTGGTAGCTGGAGGCACATTTCTCCAAAAATACCAGCCTAGTATAACTTACACAATGTATTTAACTCATGTAAAGTATTTAACTCACATATGTAATGCAAACCGACGTAACTAATGTACATACCATGATCTTTTCCTAAACCTAATCAAAAGTTTTGTAAAATCTAACCAAACTGCAACAACTTAAGCACGTGTTTATTATTGTTACTAGGACGACAAAGCTCACCTGATGTTTGCACATCAAACTACACCAAGATGTAAAGAGCATTTGTTTTTGGGATAACAGTCAGACAAATGGGCTTTTGGTCCAATGATACATTTTATGGTTTTCAGAATAATGGACCATTGGAATAATGGGAAGTCCGCAATTTTGGTAGCTTTGGACGGAGGCAGGTAAGCTGTTTCCTCCAGTCTCCAGTCTTTGGGCTAAGCTATGGTAATAGTTGCCTAACATCATATTTAGCACACAAACATTAGAGTGGTATTGATCTGAGATGAGAACATCAACCGAAAATGTTGAACTATTCCTTTATTGTAAAGATGCATAAAAACATACTTAACATAATAGAATAACTTCTATTTCATAAGTTGCATGGCCAGCACTTTGAATTGTTATATGTCCAGCGGCCAGACTAAAAATGTTCCAGTCTTTTCAGAGTGGCCCATTTCAAGCCCTTGAGAGCCTGCCTATTCTCATTTATCAAATAAAAAGCAACTTTCTTAACACTTTGGAGAGAGAAAAACAACATTTTCACTGCCAGTGAAGCCATGTGTGTGTGGTATGACGAGTGGGACCGGTGTGATTCCTGGTGTTAACAGCTAATAAATTGCCCCAACCCCCCCCCCACCAGTGCTCTACTGGCTCAATTATATCCACATGTAGCCATTATTCCTGCCATGTTAGCCAGAGTGAGCTGCATATTTTTAAAAGGTTGGTTTCCATAACACTTGCTGAAAGCTACGTTGGTTGTTGAGACACATGTTTGGGTTCTGTGGAAGCCAGACGCTGGCTGTTTTAATGCAGAGGTGCTGGGGAACGCAGCAGGAGCCAGTATATGCCTTTTGTTTTCTAAAGTCTCACCTCAGTAATGCATGTAGAGACAATTAACAGGTTTATTACTCACTAACAAAATTTCTGTCTTAAAAATATAGACATGAAAGGTTTTTTTTCACTGGTATTTGTAAGTTTTATGCAATATACCTGACAAACCCTCAACACAATTGGAACCTTTTTAGTACACCTAGTTAAACCTAGTCTAATACAACAGCCCTGCAACAGTTTGACAAATTGTTCTAGAGAGGTGGTGATGCAACATTATGTAATTTTGTGGTTCTCCTGAACTGTATTGAATTCTACTGAGAAGTGTTTCAAATATTCGGTCAACCCTCATTTATATGAGTGGGATTTTTCTCCATAAAAACCCACTATATCCGAACTAAAATACCTTTAAAATGTGTTGTTATGTTTGTCTTGGTGGTAGACAATTGGTCTGTCTGTGTTCTCAAGCATCAACTTGTTTAATTTTACATGTTAACAATGTAAACAACCAGGCAGTGTCATGCAATTAACTTCTGTATATAGGCTACTGAAGGTTTTGCTGGCACCTCTGTTTGCTGACAGTTATCTTTAACAGTGAAACTCAACTGTACTTTAGTTATGCGCATTTACTACAGAAACCTTGTTGAATGCTCCCCAGCAGGTACAAATGTGTGTTCGGGACAATCTGCCCGGTCCCTGTGCTGTTTTTCTAACAAATGTTTGAGGTTTTCTGAAATTGGAGCAGGACCAGAGCCAGCTCTTTTAATGTCATGCTGTTGGCGCGTGCCAACCTTTTCTGCTAAACATTTCTCTCCTCCCTCATCCTCCTTCCCCCTTCTTTTTCCAACAGGGGGTTGGAGAGCCTCAATGCTATCATTCTTTGATTCTGTTTGAATCTGGCCGCGTGTGAGCAGGAAAAGGAGCCAAACGTGCTTCCTGAGTGGTCCGGGGGGAAACTCTGTAATAAGCAAGGGGTGGGCAGTTAAAAATAACTGGGCTATATAAGCCTGGAGCAGGATCCCACTCACTCTCAAACTCTCACTGACTCTCGCTCAGTCAGGACGTCCCGTGCAGGCCCGGCGCTACCTCTGACACTTACACACAGTTTTTCCATGGAAGTTAGCAGAGTATGCCACATGAGGCAGAGCTGGTGTGTCCAAATCCTCACCACAGTGACAAAACACTTACAGACATGACCCAGACATAATGTGTGCCTGTACTCAAGTCACTGACTTGAACAGCCCAATTACAACATATGAGTGACAACATGAGGATTCATCATGGAGAATATAGACAGACATCTGTGTGACGTGCCATGTTACGTATCCTAATTATTAAGAAAACCTCTGTAGATTTATTGTTATACTGTTAACGTCATAGGTGTTTGTAGTCTGTCTAAAACTGTGTATTTCTTTTGTAAATGCTTAAGTGAAAGGATGGAGGTGGAAACACACCAATTTCCATATATGAGTTACACTTTTATACCATTTCTCAGAATTGTATTGTCTATTTTTTCTTTTTTCTTTATTTATAAAAAAGACCACTTTGTATTTTGGTTGAGCCCTCTTGTTTCTGTGTTTGGGTGCGGTGGGTTTGGGAAGTTCTGTTTGTAAATAGGCTTTATCTTTTTGCCGATGATGTATTTCAAAAAAAAAAAAAAGAAGAAAATTTCAAAATGCTCTTGGAAAAAAAACAAAAGAGAAATGCTTTAAATGTTTACTGTTAAATCCATGAGAAAGTTTTTGTAAGCACAACTGTGCTAAGAAAATGGAATATTTTAAAGTGTGTCACTGTTGCAAGAACTTGTCACCAACTTTTATGACTTGTTAACAGCTTGACAGCTTGTTGATGACTTGAGAACTTAAATGCACAGATAACTTAAATAGCTCCTATTGAACAAGTTTTACAATTGTGAAATGACTTTGCAAGTTGCCCAATGACAATAGTATTGTGTAAAATCGCAATTCAGGGAAAGAGATCCTTTTTCATGCTTCTGTGGAAATGTTGCTCGTTTACATTCAACACGCTTCATACAGTGATTTTAGTGGTTCCTCTTCTGGAGGAAAAAAGAAATGTGCAGCTCACATGAGGCTGCAGGTAGGGAGACGTGCTTTGATGAAGGGCATTGGGTCAAGAATCTGAGAACACTGAATCCCTACAAGGTGTCAACCTCTGACCTCTCTGTGAAGGGGGCAAGCAAATGGAGAATTTTCCTTACAGGGAATAATT